TCTTGCTCCATGCGCTCTGCAGTTCCAGCATTAAAACGACCATGGCCCGAAACACTCAGAGCAGTTTTTTCTTTCTTTCATCATGGTATCTCCCGCCTTCATGAACTCCGTAGTTCTCTTTCTCTTCCCCTGAGCTTCAGCAGCCCCAGCTTGGCTAATGTACATTTTTATAGTTGTAAGTTGGTTGATTTGTGGGAGAGAGTGATGCTGGGAACCTTCTATTCTGCCGTCTTGACTGGAACCCCTTTCTTCTTTATCTCTTAGCTCCTACTTATGAGAGAGTACATATGGTATTTGTCCCTCCTTGGTTTGCTTATTTCACTAAACATAAGTTTCTCCAAGCTCATCTATGTTGTTGCAAATGGGAGGATTTCATTCTTTTTCATGGCAGAGTAGTATTCCATGGTGTATATATACCACAGTTTCCTTAGACAGTCATCCATCGATCGACATTTAGGTTGGTTCCATATCTTGGCTATTGTGAACAGACCATGCCATAAATTGACATGGGGCACTCAGTGCTCTTTGAGTATTGACACTCAAGCCAGCTGTGAGTTGTATTCAGCAAATAATGAGTGCTTACTGGGCCCTAGCACTGTTATGGTTCTGAGTATACCACAGTGAACAAGATGAACAGTGTATTTCCTTTCATGGAGGGCACCATTCTAGCATGACTGAATTATTGCTGAGGCTTCAGAGCTCCAGTTTGTTCTTAGGTAGATACCAAAATACTTCATAAAATGACTTACTGTCTACCTTCGGTATTTTCCTTCTAAAACAATAAAAGTAAGTTCAGCCTGGCTTGTTCTTAGTATAACCACGAGTGTATGAGTAAATAATGACCTACTCTATTTTTGTCTAGGGATTCACATTAAATGAGTAGCTCCTAGCATGGTGTCTGACTGACAACAGGCATGGCATTTAATACATATTTCTGTTGGTGTTTTAGTCTCTTTGAATGTACCCAGTTATAGACTAGAAGATAAGCCCTGTTCCTACTTCTGAAAATAGTAATAACATTTACCTCTTTCTGATGGTCTGTTACTTTTCTGTTTGTAGAGCTAGGGCTGGGTCCTGGAGCTCACGGACCCCTCAAGCCATTGTCCACACTGGGTCACAAACTCTTCACACACAGGTCTATGAGCTAGGTAACAAGAAAAAAAAGATCCTTGGAGCCCTGGTTGAGGAAAGAGTAGTCTTTATTCAGCACACACACATACGTCTGAGAACTAGGCAGTCCAAAGAGAAACTCAAAACTTAACTGCTATCAGAAAAGTCCAAAGAAAAACTGAGCAGCTGCCAACAAAGTAAACATGCTCTCTTTTTCAGACATGAGCTCTCTGCTGGCCAGCAGTTCAGGGCCACTTCTTCACACACTGTGAAGAACACAAGAATAGCAACAAAACTAAAAAGATACGTTGACACACATGCACACTAACTCCACCCACACACACTTTGTTTACAAAGAATGTGCTGCACCACACCCAACCAGACCCAAGGTGAGGGGGCTGACCAAATTATTCTATTTTCCCAACACTGTTCTTACAGTTTCTCAAATGTCACTTATTGGTAGTTAAACAATCACATTTGTTAATCCAAGATATATAATTTGCCAGGATTAGAAGACTTGGATTTATTGAAATGTGTGTATTTTATTAACATGTCTATCTTGAGGTGTGCAGCCTGCCTAACCTAGTTTCTGCCACACTCACTGTTTGAAAGTCATTGCCTGTAATAGAGAAAATGAAGTTAAGAAGGTCTACATCCTGTTATTTCAGTGTATACCAAGCGCTTGAAGCAGTTAACATTTCTTCCCTGCTTTTTCCTGATCATAGCCTAAAAAGGCTTTTTTTTTCCCCCTTAACATATTTCATACCCCTTGTGGGCTTTTGCCCTTCTTAGCCTCACAGATTTCTGGTCCTATTTTTATGTGCTTTACTAGTTAGTACATCTAGTGTGTGTCCTATTTAAGGGGGTCAGAGAACTCTGTGGGTCACCAAGTTGCTTTCTTTCCCTCACAAAAGAAACCCAAATCACCATAGCCACCAGGGACAGCTGCAGTTTTCACAAGTAAGAATCCTGGTTCCCCTCTCATCAGCCACCAAGTTTAGTCCCTTGTCATTTCTTCGTAGGTACCTTAGCAAACTTCAGCAACTTCTCATGAAAGTGCTGTTGGCCACCTAAACACAGACTTCATTGTTGGGCCTCAGCACTAGAGCTTTCAGAAGGTCCTTTCAGTGTTGAGGCTGCTTAACACTGAAATCCCACCCTGCATCTCATTCTTGCATTCCAGCATCATCTGCCAACATTGTCCAAATTATAGCTCCCTCCCTGCAGTTCCATTCTGCAAGCATTGAGCAAGCACTTATTTATTATGCACCAGGCTCTGTGCTGGGCATTGGGGATACATGCTGGAAAAAACACAGCGCCTGCTCTTTTCCACACCATCGTTCCTGTATTGCCCCAGATAGCTTCCCCTTGATGCCTTATTGCCTCCCTGACACCTTTTCTGCAGTGATTTGAAACCCATGCCCTGTGGTAAATTGTAGGGAAAGTGGAGGAAAATGGTTAGGGCCTCTCAGATGTTCAGAATCTTGCTGAGCATTTGATGTAAATATGCATGTACATCCAGGTGTTCCTTGGTTATTGTCTAATTGCACATGCACAACTAGGTGTCCTGGTTTATGGACTTAAGAATAAAGGAGGAGTGGCTCTGATCCCCAATGCCCTTGCCTCTGGGATGCTCCCGGTGGGGCCACAGGGAAGCTGTTACTGCTGCTGGAGGGTGTTGCTGCCAGGGCACCTGAGACCCTCTGAGAGGCCACTGCCACTTCTGCTGCTGCTGCTGCTGAAGAAGCTGAGCACCGAGCTCATGTCATCTGCCAGTGGCTCTTGGGATCTTTTGAAATTACCTAGCTCGTGGACCTACATGTGAGAGGTCTGGTGACCCAGCCTGGCGTGAGGGGTCTGCTGACCCAGCCTGGCTTTTGAGGGTTCTGCTGACCCAGCCTGGCGTGTGTGGGGTCTGTTGACCCAGCCAGGCGTGTGTGGGGTCTGTTGACCCAGCCAGGTGTGTGAGGGGTCTGGTACAATGGGTTTGAAGGGTCTGTGAGCCCTAGCCCGACAGGACAATTGGCTACATCGGCAGGAGTCCAACAGTAACCCCAATCAGACAATTAGTGTAGCTATTGCTGTAACCAAAGAATTGGTGTAGTTGTAGCAGGATTCTCAGCAGGTGAAAGAGCCCAGCTATTGGTGTCATGGGTAGGATGCCAAGCAGTTAAAGAAGCAGAAAGCCTCTTGGGAGGGAGAGGAGATGTAGCTACCTTTGAGCAAGTGGTGCTCATTGGCCACTTTCTTGTTGACTGAGGTCTGGCTGTTGCTTGCTGTACTGCGAGCCAACCTGGACCAGAAACCTCATGAAGTGGCACAGTTTTGAGATTTGTATCAGAAAGCAGACAGGTTGGAAACACAATACATGCCCTGGAGGCTGAAGTATAGCAACAGGTCATTCCTGCTTCCAATACCTGGGACAATGACAAACCCGATGGTGAGCTGGGGGAGACTGTGCATCTCCTGGAATGACCTGTTGCTCATCAGAAGGTGAAGTACAAGCAGCCTATGGGACTAAGTGGAACCCTCAGGTGACCCAGTTCACTACCTGTATCCCATATACCCCAGTCAAATTGGTTGGCTTGGGGAAACAGTAAAGCAGCAGAAACAGGGCTGCTGCAGTTATGGGACCTAGGAGTGGATGGTGTAACGTGCCCAAGATGATGTAGTAAATGCATGTGGCATTTGTCCAACAGGCAGATGGCTCACTAGCTGCCACTTAAACCTGAGAAGGATGCTGCATAAACCCAAGGAAAACAATGGTTTGCAGGGTGCCACTTAAACCCGATGGTTCGCCAGGTGTCATATAAAACCAAGAAAGCAGATGGCTCGCTGGGTGCCATATATACCTGAGAAAAGAGTGCCAATGTAGATGGGCAGATGACCTGAGGACAGGTACCCTGCAGAATTTCAAGTATGTCTTCAGCTGGTAAAGTTTGCTTTCATCACCACATGATGGTCTCTGAAGCAGCGGTTACAGAATAGCCACAGATATGCACAGGGGCAGGGCAGCCACTCCTTGATGAGGTAAGTGAATGCAGCTGTTTGAACTGTGTGGTGAACACTGGAGAACTACCTGAGACTGTGAGTAAATGGTGGGTGTATGCTGAGCTGATTCAAGTAATTCAGGAGCCAGGGATGAGGCAGCTAGATGCTAATAGCCAAGATAATGGGAGAAAGGCCTTGAGGGTACTTCAGAAGTCTGGGAGAGCACCTCTCCCATCACGACCCTGAGGCCTAGGAGAACTGAGTTTTTCTGGAGAGCACAAGCTAGAAAGCTTGGCAGCATCCACCTCATGTTAAGATTTGCAGGCTGGTGGAACTTGAGAGCAGTGGAGATGTGGCAGCCTCCATCCATTTTTCAGAAGATGTATGAAAAAGCCGGGGACTCAGGCAGAGACCTGCTGGATGGGTTGAACCGCTGCAAAGGTCCTCTATGGAGCAGTGTGGAGCAGAAAATTGAGGTTGGAGGGCCAGCATATGGCTCACTGGGAGAGTGTGATGCTGATAACACCAAGTCCACAGGTTTGGATCGCTATATTGGGATGGCTGGTTCACTCACTTGGGAGAGCGTGGTGCTGACACCACCAAGTCAAGGGTTAAGGTCCCCTTATGGGTCATCTTAAAAAAAAGAAAAAGATGGGCCGGCCAGGTGGCGCACTGGAGAGTGTGCCACTTGGGAGCGCAGCGGCGCTCCCGTCGAGGGTTTGGATCCCATGTGGAGACCAGTTCCCACTCACTGGCTGAGTGCGGTGTGGGTGCAACAATGAGGGTTGCGATCCCTTTACTAGTCAGTAAAAAAAAAAAAAAAAGAAAAAAAGAAAAAAAAAAGTGGGGTTGGGGCTCCAAAGAGTGCCCCTACTGGGGAAATGTCTAGTGGAGCCAGGATGGTGGGACTACCTCCAGGAACCCAGAACCGTGGGGTTGCTGGCAACTTGCAACAACAGCCTGTAAAAGCTGCAGGCACCAGGGCAGCTCAATGGGCTCCACCTGATGGAGATGTAGGAGCAAGGCTGCCCAATGCTTTGGAGACCCAGATTCCCCAGTGTGCATAATATCTGCCCTGGTGGGTTTCAGAATAGTTTGGGGCCTGTTTTTCCTTTCTCGTCTGTTCCTCCCTTTTGGAATGGGAATGTGTATCCAATGTCTGTCCCACCACTGTGTCTTGGAAGTAGACAAACTTGTTTTTGATTTTTTACAGATACACAGCTGAAAGGAGTTTTGTCTTTAGTCTCACATGAGACTTTGGACTTTTGAGTTGGTGCTGGAACAAGCTAAAGACTGTTGGGACAGAATATATAATATGTGAATGCAAGGGTCAGTTATCCTCACTAAGGGAACACCACAAAAGATTCTGAATGCATAGACTGTACAGCAAGGGACCCTGAAGGGGTAGATTGTAGGGAAAATATAGGAAAATGGTCAGGGCCCCTCAGATGTTCAGATGTAAATATACATGTGTGCCCAGGTGTTCCTTGGTTATTAGTTGTGCATGTGCACCCAGGTGTTCTGGGTTATGGACTTAAGTATAAAAGACAAGTGGCTCTGATCCATGATCCCCCCACCCCTGCCCCTGTGATGCTCCCTGGAGGGCCATGGGGAGGCCATTAGTTCTGCTGGAGGCTGTTGCTGCTGCTGCTGCTGCTGCTGAAGAAGAAGAAGAAGAAGCAGCTGAGGATTGAGCTCATGTCATCTGCCAGCTGCTCCTGGGATCTTTCCCAGTTACCTAGCTCATGAACCTGCATGTAAGGGGTCTGGTGACCCAGCCAGGCATGTGAGGGGTCTGGTGATCCAGTCTGTACAATGAGTTTGAAGGGTCTGTGAGCCCTAGCCCAACAAGACAATTGGCTATGTTGGCAGGATTCCGACAATAACCCTAACCAGACAAATAGAGTAGCTATTGGTGTAACCAGACGTAAATGAAATCTCTTTTGTCCCCAGTCACTTCATAGAATGTGCCTTCTACCCATTTGCTGACACTTCCTTGAGAATTTCCTTTTTCTCACACCTGCAGGTTTTTCAGTTTTGACATGTGTGTTAGTTTCTTACTGCTGCCATTTACAAATTGCCACAAATTTAAGGGGTTAACACAGTGTTGTAGCATAGGAGTCTGACACATGTATCACTGGGCTAAAATCAAGGTGTCAACAGAGCTGTGTTCCTTTTGGAGGCTTTAGGGGAGAATCTGTTTCCTGGTGCTTTGCATCTTCCAGAAGCTTCCTGCATTCCTTGGCTGTGGCCCCTTCATTTTCAAAGCCATTAATGTTGCATCTCTCTGACCATCCTTCCACAGTCACATTTCCCCCTGACTTCCCTCTTTTGCCTTCCTCTTCCACTTTTAAGGATCCTTCTAATTGCACTGGGCCCACCTGGATGATCGAGGATAATCTCCCTATTTTAAGATCAGCTAATGAGGAACTATATATCCTTTTTGCCACAAACCCTGACATATTCACAGGTTCCAGAGATTAGGATGTGGACATCATAGGAGAGGTAGCATTGCGTGTTCACCATTGCCAGTCATTTAGAAACCATCCTAAATTCTTCTCTTTTTCTCAGTTTAATCTATCCCCAAGTTCTGAGTAGCTACCTCCTCAGCACCTCCAGACCTAGCCTTTGCTCGTATTGTCCCCTATTTAAAGTGGTAGGAAAACTGAGCAGACATAGAGTCATGCCATCACAGGCACTTCAACCACAGCAGTTGCTTTATTTGTATTTGTATTATGTATTGGAATTCTAAGTAATATGAGCTTTGTGGGTGGAGGTATGGTGGAGAAGGTTATATACATATAAAAGTTTGGAATCATTGATCTGGAGCTGTACTGTCCAATACTGTAGCCACTAGACACATGTGGCTATTTGCATTTAAATTAATTAAAATTAAATAAAATTTAAAATTCAGTTGCACAGTCACACTAGCCACATTTTAAGTGCTCACTGGCTTCCATATCAGTGCAGAAAGTTCAATATATTGGACAGTGCAGAATTTATTAGTGTGCCTCACCTTGGTGCAATACCAAGCATGTAGTAAGCCTTTAAGTATTTGCTAAATGATTACAGTGGTTCCCTTCCAGAGACAATGGGGTTATTTTCTCCCAAGGTTTTCAGTTTTTCCACTTCACCTGTCAGTTTTTCCTTGGCAGAATTGGATGGAGAATTACAGCCCTTCTTGCTTCTTCAGCTGTTTATGAAATCAACCTTGACAGCTCAAGGCAAGGACAGAATGTATATAAAGCAAGTTCTGTCTCTTCTTCTGCCCAGGTGGGTAGTTTGTAACAGAACCTTTATACAGTCTTTCTTTGAGTGCCCTTTCTGTTTATCTTCACACTGTACTTAGCACTAGGCTTCTCATTCATGGATTTCCATATAGGGATGAGTGGGGGGGTAGGGGGTCGTTATCTTCTTTACACATATATTTCTTCTCTGCTGCCTTTTTGTTGTTGTTGTTATTGTTGCTGCTGCCTGAGTGTCCTGAAGAAAGTAAGCACTTCTCTTGGCAAACTCCAGCTCTGAAACCTATTCCAGCAGGAATTTATGATATCATTGTTTACTTCGTTGAAGTTTCAAGTTCCCATCCCTCTTCCCCTCACTTGTTCTGGAGAATTATTGCCAATTCTTCTAGTTTTGTGTAGCATTTGTATCATGTCTACTTATCTTTGTTATCCAGTTTTACTATTTGGATCTTTTTCTCATCTTCCCCTTAAAAAAGGGGCAAACTTTTTCTGTAAAGGGCCAGATGGTAAATATTTTTGGCTTTGTGGGCCAGATGGTCTCTTTCTCAGGTGCTGGGCTCTGCCATTGAAGGCCAAAGCTGCCTTAGACAGTAGAGGACAGGTGAAGCTAGGTTGGGCCTGCAGTCTGCCAGGTCCTGTACAGATAACATTTTAAATCATATTTCATCATGCCAGAAGTGTTTTCTATCTGATTTTTCTTCTGCAGTGATAGCCTTTTGATTCTAGAGTTAAAAGTGTTGGCTGTGCCCTGGTTTCCTTTACAAAATGTTGCATTCATTAGGAAATATATTTCATATTTCTTCTGATTTCATTGCATGCTCTCTGTGAATCAGCAGAACAGTGAGGCTTAATGAGTTGTGGGCTCTAACACACCTCACATGTACGTTCTGGGAGACTGGACACTCCCAGGTAACTAGATTTCCACCCCACGTTGACAAGTTACTAGTTCCCCCATCCTGCTGTGCTTATGCTCCTGCATGTTATTCTAGGTAACATTTATTGACTGTGTACTGTGAGCCAGACACCATGCCAGGTGCTTTATGTGCATTAGATTGTATAAGCCTTATAAGTATACCTTAAGGTAGCTACGATGTTACCTCTATTTCACAGATGAGAAAACAGACTTTGGGGGCTGGCCCAGTGGTGCACTGGAGAGTGTGCCACTTGGGAGCACGGTGGCGCTCCTGCCGGGGGTTTGGATCCCATGTGGAGACCAGTTCCCACTCACTGGCTGAGCGTGGTGCGGGTGCAACACCGAGGGTTGCGATCCCGTTACCGGTCAGTAAAAAAAAAAAAAAAAGGAAAACAGACTTTGGGAGATTAAGGACTGCCTGTGGTCACATTGCTAGTAAGTGGCAGAGCTAGACTAGAACGTAGCTTTGTCTGACTCCAAGGCCCTTGTGCTAAAAATACATGCATACGTAAACCCACCCATCATACATCTGTCCACTCATATGTCCACCCAGATTTCAATTATCTGTGCTAGAAGCCATGGAATCACTATTTCTTTTCTCTTTTCTTCTTTTCTTTTTTTGACCCCCATTTCTTTTAGTTTTCTTTAGCCAGCCTAAGATCTCTCAGTGCCTCTGAATGTCTTCCTTTTTGGATTATTTCTTCTATCTTTTTTAGAATACAAAACTGTGTTTTCCTTCTTTATAAATTGGTGTACAAAGAGGGAAATCATAGGCTGTTGCATTTTTGGAGACTTAAATTTGTAGTACACATTCTTGAGGTAGGAAGAAGACAAACAGAGCACACAGTCTGCAGAAGAATGCTACAGTGTCTCTCCTGTGTAAATGACATGAGGTATAGTTTTTAGCTTCCATAGAAGGATGCCTACTGGAAATTTCTAAACCAAGCTAATTATTTCCTTTGCCTTTCACTGCTCTATTTTATTTAATTAATCGGCACCCTCTATTAATCTTTCCAGATGTTATTTCTAGTGCTAACTGGTCCAGTCCAAGCTAAGCCTGGCTTACTTCACCAGACTCAAAATTTTTGAGCAAGAATGTTGTTTTTATGATTTCATATTAGAGGTCTTCCAATTTCTGTATGAAAATATAGTACATTGGATTCTGCAGGACATATCACACTATATAATTTGTATAGTCCCAAAGCCATATAACTATGGTAGTATGCTGGAAGGCATGCCAAGCTTAGTGGCATCCTCCTCTGTAATGTAAGGTTTAAGTTTAAAAAAAAAAAAGTGAATTCTAGCTTCCTGTTAGTCATTTTTGGATTTCAGTATTGAATACTAAAAATGTGTGTTATTTTTTATTTAATTAGGAGCCATATATTGAAGACAATTTCTGGAAGCTTCCACTTTGTAATTGTTGGTCACCATGATAATCCAGTTTTTGAAATGGAGTTTTTGCCAGCTGGGAAAGTGGAATCCAGAGTGCGTATGGAACCTTAAATTCCATAAGAATTGTAATGCTATTCTAATGATATGTTATAATATGATTTTAGAACTGGAAGAGATCTGGACAGATGAGGTTACTGAAGTCCACCACAATTAAATGAGGCTTTCTCTGGAGTCCCACCGACTGATAGAAGCCAGCCAGGGAATGTCCTTGGAGTTTGTTTATTCATTCTTTAATTCAGCACACACTTTCTTCACACGGACAGGCATGATGCTCTGGGTCTCTTTCCCATGGCATTGTGTTCACTGTGCCACCCACTGTGAAAGCACATAGAAGCAGAGTCTACCTGTAGTGGGTTTGGAAGAACAGTCATTGCTGCCTTGAAATGCCGTGAAACTCCATTCTATTTCATTGAATAACATTTTTTGTCAGGACACATGTAGTAGATCAATTCATACTTGCGAGGGTTAAAAGAGACCCTTACTTCTATGTCCTTCTGCTGCCACTGGGTGTACAGCACCTTGTCCTGAGTTGCCTTTTAGAACATTTCCTGTCTGGATGGTGACTGTGTGCTCTCCTCCCCAGTGACGCCCTGGCTGTATGCAGGAAACTCGAAAGCAGCACCAGAGGTGATGCCATACAACCTTTTTGTTGCCAGGAATGGTTCCAGAAAAATAAGCTTGATTTAAGAACATGTTGCCATTCAGAGTAAACAGAGCCATAGAGTCTTCAGATGAGAATAGCCTGGTTCCCTCCATCTTTTTGTTCTAGTCTTTGTTCCTAATAAATTGCTGACAAGGATACTGTGTTTCTCCTGACTCCAAAAATAGGCTGTAATGTTCGTTAAGACAGGAATTAATTTTTTAAATCAATTGTAATGCATAATGTTCAGTGTATGATACTCTTCAACTATTCAGATCTTGTCACCAAAATAAGATAGAAATTTAAGGTATTATCTGCCAGGTGGTGTTACTACACTATTTTCCCACATTGTTATGATAACATTGCTCATTAAAACTTTGTTTTGAGGTATCTCTGTAGCAATAGTTGCTTTGTGGGATATGGCTACTTAAGTATAGTTTCTGTGCACTCCAATGGCCTTGTGGTGGGCAAAGCAGAATATAAAAATAGCATATAAGCACATAAAAATACTTTGTCATGTAACCTGATCTTAGTTCTTTCTCCTGCTACCACTCACCTTCTTGAAGCATTTCAACAGTTTGCTCCTAATTACTCAAGATTTATCATCGGCGTAAAGGAAAACATTACTGTGAGCCAGACACAAAATACATCCATTTCTCTAAGGACTCAGTTAGCTTTGCCATGGCAACGTGAGTGAAGTAAACAGTGTAGCTGTGTGAGGGATTCCAGGGCAACTGGCAACCTTCCTCCAGACCACTCATGGGAACAACCTCCTGGCAAGGAGATTGTATTAGTTTTCTGTGGCTGTTGTAACAAAGGACCAAAACCTGAGTGGTTGAGAACAACAGAAATTTGTCTCACAGATCTGGGGGCCATAGGTCTGAAATCAACGTGTTGGCAGGGCCATGCTCCCTCTGAAGGTGCTGGGGAAGGATCTGTTCCAGGCCTCTCTCCTAGCCCCCGGATGTTCCTTGGGTTATCACAGCAGAATTCCAATTTTTACATGGTATTCTCCCTGTGTGTCTGTCTCCAAATGTCCCCCTTTTATAAATACACCAGTCATGCTGGATTAGAGGCCCATCTTACTCCAGGATAACCTCATCTTAAGTAACCACATCTGCAATGACCCTTTTCCAAATAAGGCCACATTCTGAGGAACTGGGGCTTAGGATTTCAACATATGAATTTTGGGGAGGACATAATTCAACATAACAGAGGTATTCTTTGACAAATGAATTTTGTGAGAAAGAATTCCTCAGGAGTTAAGTCTGCATTCCAAGTTGTGAATTTCCTCTCTACATTATGGTAGGACAGTCCTACTTTTTCTCCAGGTAAGCCATTTCAGTCCTCAAAAAGGACACTCCCAGGTCTGACAGGACCATCTCCTGCTCTTAACATAGGTGACTGCTCACAGCTGGGCCTGAAACCTCCTCAGTTGTCTCTACTGCTTACTGGAGCTACCTGTGCATGAAGCCCAGACCTCCCTGCTTCCTCATGACCTTGAGGCCCGGTGCAAATGACTGTCCTTCACGGCCTCTTTAGCCCTGGCCTGCCCAAAGTGCTCTCCTTGATCTGCATGCACTTACACATTTTTTTCATGTCTTTTCCTCTAACAAGATGTGAGCTTCTTAAAAGCAGGATCTACCTTTTTTTTTGTTTGTCTGCTTAAATGTATTCTTTTTTTCACGTGTCTAAGTGGTTACAAAATGGTCACAGCATCTTGCAACATTTAAAAAAATTTTTCTATATAGTTTCTTGAGCACATTACATTTATTAAGTAATTGGCTATTTGTTCTTTTTGTTGAGTTTTAGATATCAAATTTTACAAATCCAGTATATAAAAACATAGAAGATGTATGTCTCATGACAATAACAGGTGAAGTAAGCATAGAAGATGTATGTCTCATGACAATAACAGATGAAGTAAAAGCAGACTTTTATGTTTCTTCCCCAAAAGAAAACCATATATAGAATTTACAGAGTGAAGTGTCAGCATTCTTGATGCCATATGGAAATGGTTATCTGTCGCTGCTCTCCATCTTCCAGGATGATCATCGTCATCTGAACCAGTTCATAGCTCATGCTGCTCTTGACCTAGTAGTTGAGAACATGTGGCTGTCAAACAACATGTACTTGAAAACTGTGGACAAGTTCAACGAGTGGTTTGTGTCAGCATTTGTCACTGCAGGACATATCCTTATGTTTTTAGTAGATACCTAACTAAAGGTTGGTTTAACAGACTAGAAGAACATGGAACATAGATGCCAGGCTCTGAGTCTGTAGACTTCAAAGAGTATGAGGCTACTTTTGTTGAACAGATAATTTAAAACTAAGTCTCGTATATAAAACCAAGATTTATCTGAACCATATTGAGGATGATTGTACTTAATTTTATAGTTATTTTCTAATTTTAGATTATTTTCTCTTTAAGATAATACTGATTTTAAACCCAGCTTATGTATTCAGCTTTTCTATTGCAAAATATACTGCATGTGACTAATTTGAAGAATATCGTATCAAGTGACTGCTTTTTGTTTTTCATTTCTATGAAAGATTATACCTTAATTATTGTACATATCAGATTTAATGCTTCACGACATAAGACAAGAAGATGGAATAAAGAACTTCTTTACTGATGTCTATGATTTATATATAAAGGTATGGTGTGTCCTATAATTCTTCTTCTTATTTTTTTTTTTCCTTTTTGTCTTTTTTCGTGACCGGTAACGGGATCGCAACCCTCGGTGTTGCGCCCGCACTGCTCTCAGCCAGTGAGCAGGAATGGTCTCCACATGGGATCTGAACCCTCGGTGGGAGCGCCGCCGCACTCCCAAGCGGTGCACTCTCTAGTGCGCCACCTGGCTGGCCCGTATAATTCTTAAAATCTGATTATAAAAAGGATAACATCAACAGGAAACTGGCCTATTGAAGTAACTCCCTTATGCTGTACAGTTTTCATTTCAGACTAACTTTTCCCCAATCAGGACTATCTCTGGAAACTCCTTCAGCAGGCAACTCTTCACCACCAAGTTAATATGTACAAGACTACTTCAAAAAGTTCACGGAGGTATTCATATTATCTTTTAATTCCACTATGCACAAACATTTTGAAATACCCTTATATTTAGGAAGACAACTCACGGTAGTTATTTTTAATTGATTGTGATGGTAAATTGGTTTCATTCTTCCCCTTTTTGTGCATATAGTTGATTTTATTAGGAACCGTAAAGAGATAAAGGAAGCAGCTTACATAAAGGAAAATTCCTTTGTAATTTAATCTTATGTTTTCCATCTACTTTACAAATAAGTTGCAATGCAATGAATATAGATTATAAACTGGCAAAAAGTAGTTCTTATATTATCAAATAATTATTCAAGGACAGTGGGGCTACCTGCATTTCTTGATATTGAATTGAAAGATAAAATCGTAATAGGACGTCATGGCTAAACTGCAGTGCTAACAATGGTGTATTCTTAATAATTTAAATATGTTCTGTATTTGGACAGGATTTCTTGCATATCAGCACAGTAATAAAATTGAACAATCAATATACCTAGTCAGAGGTGGCAAGAACATTTAGCAGGCTTATAAAAATGGACAGTATCAAGTCATTAAGGTGCACAAATCAGTAACTCCTTTTCTCCTTAGTGATTCCCCTTTAATATGAGTAATTTTCACTCAGATATGTTATGATACACTTATTACTTTAGCTGAGAAACTGATCATTTAGCCTTGTGTTACAGGAGGGTATTAAAAAACCTGAGCATTAAAAAAAAGTTACCACAAAGGGTAACTTTTTTTTTTTTTTTTTTTTTTGGTGGCTGGCTGGTATGGGGATCTGAACCTGTCACGTTGGGGTTATAAAGGCTACACTCTTAACCAACTGAGCTAACCAGCGACGCCCAGGGTACCTTAATAGCAGTGTGGTATAATTTTTTTTAACTCTTGAGCTTATGGCAGATTTTTCACTTGTTTTATGTAGCCAAAGGGACTTACAGATGAGTCCATGTATTTATAATTAATACATGTAGATTATTATTTCACAAACAGGGTGAATCCTGAAAGTTAATTTTAGCTTATATAGGCAACACACACCATACTACCATTAATTTTGCCATAGGTACTTCTCAAAACTAAAAGGCAAAAACAAAAATTTCTTAAAGGGGACACTAGTATTTAACAATGGAGTGTTTTCAATGAAACCTAAAAACGTGGTCTTTAGACTTTGTATTGAATTTCTTTGATTTTTAATTTAAAACTCTAAAATAATTTCCGTTTAGAGACCTATGATTTGTCAGCCTTTTTGCTTTGCCAGCTCTCTAGTACCTTCCTCTTTCCTAGTTTGCAATGAATCCATTTTGTGAACCCAATTCTCCTATTCAATCAAGCGCATTTCACAGAAAAGTTCAGTTTCTTTGGAAGAAACACCTAGTAAGCTGAATGCAGAAAAATTCTGAAATAAAGTGTCACCACAGTACGGTGACAGGGAAGAAGGTGTCAGGGAAAAAGACACAATCACAACAATTCCTTGAACTTGTTAATAAGACAAGTGAACAGATACGATGCTGATGGGGGGAGAAGGGGTAGAGGAAGGGGGAAAAGAGGAATTGGTAAAGGGACCTGAAAATCAACTACATTGGGGCCGGCCCGGTGGCGCACTGGATAAGTGCGCCACTTGGGAAGCGCGGCGGCGCTCCCGCCCGAGGGTTCAGATCCCACATACAGACCGGTTCCCGCTCACTGGCTGAGCGAGGCGCGGGAGCAACACCGAGGGTTGCGATCCCGTTGCCGGTCCCCAGTCCGGTACAGGGGCAACACTGAGGGTTACGATCCGTTGGCAGACACGGAAAAAGACAAAAAAAAAAAAATCAACTACATTGTATATTGATAAATTAAAGTTTTTAAAAAATTATAGGCATTATACACAGCACTACCTGAGAAGCTGAAGAAAAACAGCATTTGTCGTGCTAAATGTCATATGCCTTCCTCTTTCAGAGGGTGAGAATAGTGATCCAGCCATAATTCTAGAATCCTGGATCCATGTTTGTAAAATGAGACTGGGAGTAAAGTTATGGGCCACAGTGAAAACATGTTGCTTCTGTCACGTTATGTTCTTACATTTCCTTTCCCTCAGACCGTAAGCTAAGGATTAAGTGAACCCGTTTGATATCTGTACTTGTAAAAAGCTGTAAAGGCAATTTTAGAGTTAGTAAAGAACAGCTTGGATTACATTAACATTTGCATTCTTAGCTTTTTAGGCTATACACTGGAGGGGGCTGGGAGTGGTCTCTTCTGTGCTATAAGAAGTATGTGGTCTTACTGTGAAATAGTAAATATCCATTGAAAAGCGAGTACCATAACCACATATTTCTGTGCTAATCATAAGCACGTGAAGAATTTTGTTCTATTCTGAATAACTTTCAAGTAATTCTTAGTTGCTGTTGTGTCCTCATGTGAAGTTGTTACCATCATTTTTTTTAACCCTACTTATTTGGTTTCTTAAATAAAGATATTTGTCCAAGATTGTGGTAAGTTAATACCATTTTTTTTTTTGTCTTTTTCCGTGTCCGGCAACGGATCGCAACCCTCAGTGTTGCCCCCGTACCAGACCGGGGACCAGCAAAGGGATCGCAACCCTCGGTGTTGCTCCCGCTCCTCGCTCAGCCAGTGAGCGGGAACCAGTCTGTATGTGGGATTCGAACCCTCGGGCGGGAGTGCCGCCGCGCCTCCAAAGTGGCGCACCATCCAGTGCACCACCGGGTCGGCCCTAGTTAATACCATTTTAAAGTGCTGCCCACCACCACCGTTTTAGTCTTATTTTCCCTATTGAAAGTCTGCAAACTGGGCTGGCCCCAGGGCTCACTTGGAAGGTTTGAAATACAGTGAGCCAAAAGCTAGGCTGTGAAAAACCTCTCAATCATGAGATATACAGAATTGTAAGTGGAGGATTTAGTTCTCAATGATCTCTAGTCAAAATGGATGTTCTGTCCTATCAGGAATAGAGACTATAATATATCAGTGTATACAATTATAAACTCATTATACATATATATGTATATTTCTGCTTGAAATCACTGAAGACTATTCCAACATGGAATACATAAAGAGGAAGAAATAAATTTTAGATAGAAGCAATGCATGGGCTCTTGGATTGTTTGATAATCCAATTAACAAAAGGAAATGAATCATATAAACATATTTGAAGAAAATTAAATTTCCTGTCAATCTGACAATAAATACTAATATTGACAATGATTAAAATAAAAATCACAGTAAACACTAAAAACATCAATGACAAATTTTATGATGAGCAACATTAGTTCAAAGAATGTTTACAATTAGCTACTATGTAAGGAACCTTGGAATGCCTTGAAATATGGCAGTTCATGCATGAAAAAAAATTTGATAGGTTTTCCAAATTTAACAACAAATTATAAAAGTCTACATGACAGAGCCAAAAATGAAGTGGGGAGCTGAAAATCAATTTCTAAATCTATTAATAATTTTTCTAAAAAAATTAATCAATCATGCCACAGGGAGGAAATAATGAATCTTTCTATATGTGTTACAAAAAACATTACAAAATCATTGTTATTTGAAGAGGTGATCAAAGAGAATTCAGCTAAAAAATACAGGAAAAATAGTATAGAGATGTGTCAGGGAGTTAAGATAATTATGTCATTTTTTAAGATTTTGTGATGCTTTTTGCCAGCTTTTCTATAGTTGTAATGTGTTGTGATTTTTTCCCCATTCTAAGTACACATTTGTGGTTTTGTATCTATTTTTTAATTTGTAATGTAGTATTCTTTATTTCTTTGATCCACTCCTGCCTGCCCTCTCGCCAACCATGTAGGCATATGATTATATCACTACTACTCCCTATCACCCTCTGCCATTTTTGGTAGCATTTTACCACCTACTGCGGACATTAGGCCTCTGGGGTATCACTTGACTCCAGGGGAGATCTGGTGCATTGAGCCCTTAAGACAGGACTGGAGAAAACCCAAGAAGCTATTGCTACTCTGGAGAGACCACTGTCAACAAAGCTGGATTTGGCTCAGAGGATTTCTAGGGAAGATTCAAGCACGGGCACTTCACTGAGCTGTTTCTGGAGTGTCTGGCAGGATTAAGTTTGTTTGACTCTCAAGGGCACCCTAGAGGATATAGAATTTCCAGTGGGTCCTCTAACAAGTGCCACCTCCCAGCATGTTCCAGGTTTTTGAGGACAGCGTAAGTGCCACGACTCCTTTGAATAACTGCGGGCCCCTGGCTCTAAAGCCATGTCACACTGAAGAATGAGTAACTGCTCAATCCCTGGGGAAACATCAATGGTGAGGAGCCTTCCACAGGTTCTCAGGGGAGTAATTTAGTGGTTGGTGTGCAGCAGCTGGCCCAAATCCCAGTCCAAGGGCTGGCTTCTTGTATATGAAATGCAACTCAAGGTAGTGAAATAGCTCTGCAAACACTTGCTAATTGCAATGGGTCATGCAATGCATGAGGGCTAGGAGGTACTTTAGAAAGGGAAGATGGTGAGCAGGACTGCCAACACCCAGCAAAGCTGAAGGCATGTGGTAGTCACACCACTGATAGATGGGGGTCACATTTTGACGGGATATGGGATTCCAACCTAAGCTCTCTCTCCCCATTCACAGAGGTGAGACTGGTTTTCACCCTGAGTAACCCTGATGCAAGTCTCACCTCCTTTATTAGTTTCCTCATGAAATCCAATCAAACATGGATAAGTTACAGTTTTGCTGAAGACCAGGAGTAACAAAGAGGCATCCTATCTACAACACGGCGAATTACTTTGAAAACACACTATAGGTGTGTGTCTTACTTCAAATGCCTTCTTCCAGCCCCAGCTGCCATGTCTCACCCTCTTAACTCCAACCCCAAGCAGCCCAGGGCCCCTTACTCCTCCTCCTCCCTTCTGAGCACTGGCTCAACCCTGAGACCTAGGACTTCCTTCTGTCCAGGGAATTTGACAAAGCTTCTTTTCAACTTCTCCACTAAGACAGTCTCTCCCTTCATAGGAGTTCTGGTATCAGCTGCTAAAACAATAACTGTTTCTTCATATGGCTACCTAGATAAAATAGGAAATAATACCACTGTCTCACCATAGATATAATAATTGATGGTGTCCTGCCTGGCAACATGCTTCATTGCAGCTCTCTAAATGAAATTTTTACTTTTGTAAATGAATTTAAAACTTAATTCTATTAATTTTTTTTCCCATACAGGCCCATTAAGAAAATTAGAAATATTCATAAAAGTAGAAGGAAAAGAAAAATGAGTCACAGAGGATTAAGGGCATTTGTTTATCTATTGTCTTAACAGTTGATTGACAACAGGTGGCTTACTCAGAGTTAGCAAGCTATACATTAATTGGTACATCGCATTTTTGTGAATTTTCTCCCAGACTTTCTCCACTCAGCTAAGGTTTTTTTTCTTTGTTTTTCAAACATAGTTTTAAATATACTAAATATACATGTCTGCATATTGCTTTTTAAAGGTGGATCCTAAAGATTTTCTATGTTATTACAGAAACCCCACATATATCAATGAAATGTTTACATGACAGAGCCTCAAGTACAACATAGTCCGTGTCAATTTCTTGTATAAGTTTCCTGTCACTGCTGTACCAAATGACCACAAACTTAGAAATTTAAGGCAATACAAATTTATTATCTGACAATTCTGGAGGTCAGAATTCCAGCATGGGTCTCACTTAACAGAAATCAAGGTGTTGGCAAGGTTGAGTTCCTTTTTGGAGGCTCTAGGACAGGATCTGTTCCCTTGTCATGTATGACTTCTAGTGGCTTCCTTGCAGCCCTTGTCTCCTGGCCCTTTCCTCCATATTTAAAGTCAGCAACATGGCAACTCTCTGTGCCTTTCTCCCGTAGTCATATCTCCCTTTTCTACTTCAGAAAGAATGCGTTTTTTAAATTTTAATTATTATTTCAAGCTACACTTCACCTCCTGCCCTACTCCTTGCAGCCACCCTGGCCTCTGTGCAGCTATGCCATCGCCAGGGCAGGCTTCACTCTTCTGTGGCCTTCACACTTGCTACTTCATCTTCATGTGATGCTCTCTCCCAGACACCCACTTGGCTCCCTTTTTCTCTTTTTTCAGTTCTTTACTTAAACATTCCTCTGTTAGTTCAATGAGACAAATGGATCAAAGAGCTCTGAGCCAAATGTTTACCACATAAGGGAGTTTATTTGTAGTGACCTGCAGGGGAGACTGAAAGATCAGTTCCTGCCCCCTACGGCCTAGTAGAGGTTTTATAGGGTTTGAATTGGCAGAAGTGGTTTGGCAGCTACTCTGAGTATTTATCACTTTGTAGGAACTCTGGATTTTTTGTTTTGTATAAGATTTTATATTGCACAAAATCTTTTTTTTGGAAAGTACTTGCTTAAGAGAAAGGTAGGGGATAGGGG